AAGTCCTCACATAAACACATATAATGAAATAATCCTCTTCAAAGTAAAGGTAGTTCTTTTTTCTACCAGAAGGCTGGCTTATCTAGACCCGAAACTCACTATGTTCAGAGTGCACAGAGACTCAGCACGTGAGAGATGCAGCATCGGTTAACTCTGTTTATAAAATGTTACAGACACCACAGGGTGTCTTCGGTTCTGTGGATGGAAGGTAAGAAGCAAAGCTGAGCTAAGAATTCAGGTCCACCACAATCAGATCAGGTCCACACAGAGGTTAAATTACCACATGAAACTGTCCAGGTACCTGCCCTGCTAGCCCTCGTAGGGCCAAAGGGGCATAGGAAGTGGGCAAAGGCTCAGCATCCAAGACCGCCACTGAAGTACACATCTACACATGGAAGGGATGCCGGTACACTGATGTTAGGTCAGCCTAGCTCAAAGTAAAATCAGCATTTCAGTCCACAGTGGGGGTCCACATAGAATGCCAGTACTATGGACACAGAGACAGGAGGACTGCCACAAATTCAAGGCCAGTGCAGGCTACCAAGTAAGATACTGTCTCTAATGAATGAGCGGATAGATAAATCAGCATTTTGCAGTGCAGACTGACATTTACAAAGCCTGCTTACTGAGGTTGGCTGGACATGGTGGCCCACACCTGTAATCCCAATACTCAGGAAGTTGAGGCAAGATGGAAGAGTCTGCTCGAGGCAACATAGTGAGATCTCTTCTTTAAAAAAAAAAAAAAAAGAAAGAAAGAAAGAAAGAAAGAAAGAAAGAAAGAAAAGAAGAGATGAAAGAAAAGAAAAGCAACAGGTAACTTAGAAATTAGAGCACAAGACACAAAGAGGACACTTCCTTGACAAACAACGGGATAAAGGTGCAAATGAGGATCATGGGAACACTTCGGGTTCACACACTGATGGCACAGAGCAGACGAATGTGAAGATCAGGCTTCACAACTGCAGAGACTGAGTAGGTTTGCCCCTTACACTCCTGGGTTTGAATGCTTGGCCCATTGGGAGTGGCACTGTTAGGGCTTTGTTTGAGCAGGTGTGACCTTGTTGGAGGAAGTGTGTCATGGGCTTTGAGGTCTCAGATGCTCAAGTCAGGCCTAGTGTAGCAGTCTCCTTCTGCTACCTGTGGGTCAAGATGTATAACTCTTAGTTACTCTCTAGCATCATGCCTGTCTGCACACCACCATGCTTCTCACCACGACAATTATGGACCAAACCTCAGAACCAGTAAGCTGGCCTCAACTAAATGTTTTCCTTCATAAGAATTCCTTAGTCATGGCTCTCTGCCACCCAACATACACACCACATAGCATTTATTCCATATAGCAACTTTACAACATCCACCCCCTATGGTGACCCTTGTCACTTCCCATAAGTGGAATCAGATGTTGCTGCTCTGGGCTGTAGTGCACAGCTGTCTAACAGCTCTGTTGGTGTTATTGGACTCAAGAAAAGCCCAAAGCTATGTGAGGAAAGCTATCACAGTGTGATTTACTTAGGATGGTCACCGGCTTTAAAACAGCTGCTGCACATCTGATTCCATAGGAGGGTACTATGAGTAGCAAGCAGAACTGGTCAATGCCACCATTAGTAGGTCCCTAGAGATGCTTAGCCAGTTACAATTCAGAGACAGCAAAGAGCCCAGGCACTAACAGGAGTTGAGAAGTTCAAGGTTCTAAAATTCTGGACAGGAAACGAGATCGTGGGATAAAAATCAGTTGCACTATACTAAGAAATCTGACCACTACACTTGCCAATATAAAGAAAGCGAGAGCAAACTGACTGAAAGAGCAAATACGCTGTCAACATTCAACCTGAAGAGACTGGTTTATACAAAAATCCACCCATGTAACAAAGTTCTGGTTAATTGAAGTTGGCAGCGTACTCTACATCTGCTGCTGCCTACTTGTGCAATGTGGCAACGCACTGCTGATGCAGCATCAGAAGGAAGCAACAAGGAACTCTTAAACATAAGCCTAATATGGGAAAGCTTTGACAGAAAAGAGGACTGAGGTTCTCATTACATCTTCTGGGTGGATGGTAGCATTTGTTATTGAATTTTTGAGGTTTCTATTTAGAATAACCAACCATATGCTAAGAAGACAAGTGACAAAAAGTCACAAGCCTGAACACTCCACTCTGTCCCCACCTAAATGTGCACAGATCCTGTATTCCTCACTGTGTGGAGAAGGCTGAAAGCATGAGGGAAATCAGCAAGAGACTGGGGGGAGGGGGGGAGGAGCTGCGCTCTCCTATTCTAACACAAAATGCTTTATGAAGGACCTAAGGACCTCCTGGTCATCTCTTCCATACTTGAGCTGACTTGCAGTCTACACTAGTTGCATCTTAGCCTAATAGGAACACTGTATGGCTACTACAGAGTCTCAGACTAATGGAAATATTGTATCACTACTTCAGTGTCTCGCTAGCTGTCTCAGACTAATAGAAACATTGTATCACTACTTCAATGCCTCACTAGATGTCTCAGACTAATAGAAACACTGTATCACTACTTCAATGCCTCATTAGTTGTCTCAGACTAATAGAAACATTATATCACTACTTCAGTATCTCACTAGCTGTCTCAGACCAATGGAAACATTGTATCACTACTTCAGTGTCTCACTAGCTATCTCAGGCTAATGGAAACATTGTATCACTACTTCAGTGCCTCATTAGTTGTCTCAGACTAATAGAAACATTGTATTACTACTTCACTGCCTCACTAGTTGTCTCAGACTAATGGAAACATTGTATTATTATTTCAATGCCTCACTGGCTAACCTCAAACTAATGAAAGTAGTGTTCTTGCAGAGAGAAATTCCAATAATGGAACACTAGTGCTCTACATCTCTGCAGACTGGCTAAAATACTAATTTAAACATTAACACAAACTCTGTAGCATGTGTATTTAGATCATAAAACACAGTCATAAAACACAAGCAGTAATAGAAATTAAATGACTTTAAAGTGGTAGAAAGGACATTTTTTATTTTAATGTTTTAGTACTATCATTCACTACAATAATTAAAAAGAAAAAGCTGAACTAAATGACTATACATCTGCAAGCTGTTGATATCACAAAATAAATGATTTTTGCTCACATAAATGCCTTAAGTCACTGGCGTAAGAAGCACATGCCTTTAATCCCAGCATTACCCAGTCAGCATAACTGCTGATGGGTTATCATTAGGTAAGATGATGTCTTGGTGGCCAGAGTTGGGGTCAAAAGTGAACCAGGCCACTAGAAAGGAAGAAGTCACAAAGAACAGGCTTGAGAATCTCTCCCTTGGGCTGGACAGACGGCTCAGCAGTTAAGAGGCTCTTCCAGAGGTCCTGAGTTTAACCCTCAGCAACACCTTAGGTCTTGTCTACACAGCCAGTTTTACTCTGCATTTGTATACAGAACTGCAATTTGAAACCTATTTAAATATCTATATTTGCATTTCAAATTCCACTGAAAAACAAAGCCTGTGTGACCACCCCTACACAGAGCTGATGACTTAAGGACCTGAAAGTAAGAACGAGCAAAAAATACCTTGTCAATTTTCTGAGAATACAGGCTTATCAACATCATACAGTTTCAAGGTTTTGTGTTGTTTTTACAAATTACCAAGTGACTTACACACCTGGTGTTTACAAGTTTTGTGTTTTTACACAAGCAGAGCTAAAGTTTCAAAATTAATATTTTTAAATGAAGTCTAGGGGCCTGGAGAGATGGCTCAGCAGTTAAGAGCATTGGTTGCTCTTCCAGAGGTCCCGAGTTCAATTCCCAGCAACCACATGGTGGCTCATGACCATCTAAAAAGGGATCTAATGCCCTCTTCTGTCATGCAGGTATACATGGTATACAGGTATAGAGCACTCGTTAAAAACAAACAAATAAAAACAAAACCATATAAATAAATAAAAATTTTAAAACATGAAGTCTATCCGCTAGAGTGTGAGCCACCTGTTGGCCTCTAAGCAACAAAGACACCTGTGCTGAGCACTCTGCGTACTAGGTATTCCTGAGTGATGAACACACTGTGTACTAGGTATTCCTGAGTGCTGAGCACTCTGTGTACTAGGTATTAGACACCAGGCTCTTCGAGGGATGTCTCACCTAAACTGAAAGAACACATCTCTAGAGGCGGTTACTATGACTCACATGTGCCATGAGGCTGAAGAACTGGGGGAAGCACAGGGCAGGTATGGACATAGGAGTCTGTAACTGCGGAGTGCAGGCCTTTCTCCTGTAGAGCACTGGTCAGACCCATTAATCCCTGACAAATTCCTACAGACAGTGCAAGGGAACAATGTTGTGAGAAGTCAGCACTGCGCAGGGCTCCCTCACAGGACGCACAGGTGACTTACACATGATTCTCTCCCATCCTTTCTCTCTATGTGCATGTGTGTACAGGCTGTACATCTGTAACCAAGGCTGGCGTGGAACTCACAATCCTCCTCTCTCAGCCTCTCAGGTGCTGGGATTACAGGGGTACGCCACAATGCAGGTTCTTTTCTCTTAGCTAGTCTTCAACTATAGTCTGCCATAAAGCAGTCTCACAGTTCCCTGCTAAAGTGAGAGGCAGATCCAAAAGCAGGATCAAGTCCTGCCCGAGCAGTTAGAATTTCACACCCTTAGTATCCACCTCCCACAGAGGGCCTGTGTCTCAGAGATGGTCTATGTCTCATGGAGGGTCCATGTCCCACAGAGGTTTTGTGCCAGAGGATGTGACCTGTAGCTACTTCAACCATGCTGAGAAAGGCCACCTCTGCTACATGATGGTGCAGACGTGGGCAGCGACTCAAACAGCATTCACTTCCCTTATCCCATGTGGAATGGAGTGAGCTTTCCAAGCCTGGCACCGAGGTAATGGGTCAATGCTCCCTTCTTCCACTCCCTGCAACCCTACACCACATTCCACTGCGGCCCTGCAGGTGTGTGGGCTCACCTCGCATCACCTCAACCACTCGCAGTCACAGAGCCAAGGGGAACATTACCTGGAGCATTGTTGAGAAGTGTCTTATTGCTTCATCGTAGAGACCGCTGCCGACCAGCACATAAGCAATAGCTATGAGACAAAACAGAAAGCTATCGGAGAAAGGAAGAAAGGCAGGTGGGCTAGATAGTCAGTAAGTCCTCTCTGCCTTGTCTCAAGGTGCGGCTCTGAGAAAAGAGTGCTGCTAAGGAACCTAGAAGCAAGCACACTAGATGGCATGCGTGACCCCGTGTTTGCTATCCAGCACTGGTTAGGCGGCCCACAGGCGGCATGGAGACTAGAGTGCCAGCACTGGGCCATACATCATAGCTCTTCTCAGGCACTGGAAGAGCCCTGGACCTTTAGGAATGGAAGGCTCTTCTTACTCTCTGAGCGGTGGCAAGGAGGATGGTACAATTATCCCCTCCACTTGCAGACAAGGAGATGAAGCACCCGTGGCAGAGGGGTTGCCTGACAAGGGTGCCACTGAGTGCGGCCCTGAGGGCAGGCCCAGGCTCCACAGCCATGCTTCCCAGACTGCCACACAGGACACAAGAGCAGCTTTCTGAACTGAAGGTGACAAAGCCTGCTTGAGGGCTAAAGCAGGCTTGGTTCTGCCCGGTTCTGTGGGGGTGAGGACCCAGAGACCTCTCCAAACTCCCTGGCTCTTGCTTGATAAGCTAGTGGTAAGTTTTCTTAAGGATCCCTCTCAGATATGTTTTTAGAATTCCTTATTTTCCCATAGCTGGTACTATCTGCTATACAAAAAAAAAAAAAAAAAGTTATAAAACAGAACAGAGGGCAGAGAGACGGCTCGGGCGTTAAGAACACTGACTGCTCTTGAACAGGACATGGATGGAGGTCCCAGCACCCACAGGATGGCTCACAACTTTCTGTAACTCTAGTTCCAGGGGAACTAACAGCTTCTTCTGACCTCCAAGGTCACATACATACATGTGGACAAAACACTCACTCTCATCAAAGAAATGCGCACGCGCACACACACGCACACACATTTAATTCTTTAAAAAATAAAATGGATCAGAACTTCAGGGAAAACCTTGGTTTGGAACATAGATCTACCTGGGCCCTGGCTACCAAAAATCCCTCCAAAAAGAACAAATAGGGCTCCAATTTTGTCATACCTACCCACAACTTCAAAGAACACTAATCTACATCTCATTCAAACATAAATAGTTACTGGGGTATAAATTTTACTGTAGGAACCCAGGGATATATATTTAAAAGAAAACAAGAAGAAGAAGAAACCAAAACAAAAAACCTGAAATAGCTACAATTACAGCAGAGGTCGCTACAGACAGCAACTCATCTCTGGACACTGCCTCTGCCAATAGGTTTTTTTTTTTTCCAAGAAGAATCTCTGTCACACAGAAGAACCTAACTCAGCTCAAGCTTCCTGGATTGCTCCTAAAAATGCATAAGGCAGGCTCATACCAAGGTGTGTGTTTTTGTTGTTGCTGTTTTTATTTTTATTCTGACTGCATGTATATCTACAGCACACACATACGTCGTGCTCATGGAGGCCAGAAGGGGGCGTCAGATCCCCTGGAACTGGAGTTACAGACAGCTATGAGGTTCTGGGAATAGAACCTAGGTCCTCTGGAAGAGCAGCCGGTTCTCTGAGCCATCTCTCCAGTCCCCATACCTGAGCTTAAGTACCATTTACTAAATGGACATTCAGCTGAAAGAAGCCAACCATTCCACAAAGATCAGCCTCACTGACACCTTAAAGGACAGTTAGTTCTCAAAGTCACCCCAGAGATCAGCACGGGGTGGGGTGGGGGGGAACTTTGCAAAGGTGGCAGTGTTCCGCAGTGACAACGCTGAGGAAAGGACTCAGCACGGGAGGACTGAGCTACAATGACAAGAGGACGGACGGCCACAATAAGGATGAAATAGCAGTCAGATGCAAGGTCCCTTTGGGTGCTTCTTGCAGCCACACGCAGGAGCTGGGGTCCATCGGCTCTGCGAGGCCCTGTGCTTGCTGTGGGTCCACTCTTCATGCGTGAGCTCATTGGGAAATGGGGAGTAAGTACCTCAACACATGCTAGATGCTGGGAACCCCCCCACCCGTTTGAAAGCATGCCAGGAATGGCCAGACCATGAAGCTCCTCTGTAAACCCGAATGAGTGTAGTTCCCACCTACGATGCTGACAGCACATGACTCTTCTAGCACAGAGCAGTTGATCTTACTAACATCACTTTTAATTTCCATAGAAACCAAGGGCTAGAACAATCCTTACCAAACACTGTACAAAAGTCTTTTCTTGCTGTCTGTCTGCCTTCCTTCCCTTTGTTTAGCCAGGGCCTCCTGTGTCACAGGCTGTGTCCTATTTAGCCAAGGAGGACCGTGGACTTTGACCCTCCCCTTTCCACCTCCCAAGTGCTGGGATACCACACCTAGTTTACACTGTGCTGGGGCCGAACCTAGGGCCTCCACCAGGCAAGCACTCCACCAGCTGACACACATCCCCAGGTCTCACCCAAATCTTTGGTCATAATGCATACCACACAGAACCTCAGGAGGCCTGGTAAGCCTGATCAGCAGTGTCAGTCTCCTATTTGTCCCTCCCACCTGGCATCCTAATCCGTATCCGATCACAGCTCTGGGTAGATGTTACAGAGTGCTCCCATGGCTCTGAGCAGGTGTTAAGGAGTGCTCCCATGGCTCTGGGCAGGTGTTAAGGAGTGCTCCCATGGCTCTGGGCAGGTGTTATGGAGTGCTCCCATCGCTCTGGGTAGGTGTTATGGAGTGGTCCCATGGCTGTGGGCAGGTGTTATGGAGTGTTCTCATGGTTCTGAGGTGTTATAGAGTGCTCCCATTGCTTTCGGCAAGTGTTATAGGGTGCTCCCACAACTCTGGACAGATGTTATAGGGTGCTCTCACGGCTCTGGGCAGGTGTTATGGAGTGCTCCCACGACTCTGGGCAGGTGTTACTGGGTGTTCCCCACTAACACTAACAGACTGGATTCTCACCTAATTCTTCATTGGTGCTGTCGTTGTCAGTAGCAAACGGGAATCTCTTCTGCTCTGCAATAGACTTGGCCTGGCTCTAAAAACAAACAAACATCTTTTAGCTTCTGACAGGAGATGAAAGCCCTGCATGAGAAGCCTGTGTGTGACGCTGCTGGAGCTGCGTTCACGCTCTGTGGAAGCAGAACGTCCGTGCCACTGTCTTCTGACTGAGCTTCAAGAACCCGGTTTGTGGGTGATGCTCAGGTCCCCTATCCCCAGTACCTCTGTTTCCAAGGCTATCTTTCCCTTCTGTGGGGATTAGTCCTTCTGGGCTACTCTGGGGCCCCTGAGTTTGTGCAGGCTCTTTTGTGCCTTTAATTATGTTGAGAAGATCAGCCCTCCGGCATGGCTTGAACACAGAATACTAGGTAAAGCACACAAGTATTCTAGAATCCACAGCTACATGATGGACATATAAGAATCTAGTCAAGAAACAAGGCTGTAAACAATGCATACAGCCATGTAGTGTGAGGCATAAGGCTGGCCCTAGGCAGACACGGAGACCATGTGTGACCTGAATGTCAGGACAGGAAACAGGAAATAAGCTGTCTCAGAAGCAAGGACTTTCTTAAAGGCAGTAAGTATCTTGTTATATAGTCCTTGATGACCCAGAACTCTACAGAGCCCAGGCTGGCCTTGAACTCAAGGCCATTCTCCCACCCTCACCATCCAAGTGCTGGGATCACAAGCCATAAGCTCCTGCCTTTGACTGAATGCTCTCACATGTTATCTTCAGCCACTGTGCAGATGGTTCTAATGGGCTCTGGAGATAAATCACATTTTGGTATACAAACAGCTGCCACTTCCCCAGAGGCTCTGCCAGCCAACACCAAGTGACAATACAGCACCTACAGCACTTGCATTAAAACCAAGGGGGCTGAGAAGATGATTCAGTGAGTGAAGGTGCCAAGCCTGACTTCCTGAGTTCAAGCCACAGAGCACACGAAAAGAGAATCAGTTCCCGAAAGTTGTCTTCTGACTGACGCCTACACATGCACCCTGGCACATGTGCATGTGCACATGTATATACATACAAGTTAAGTATGCAAACACACGTAAAGATATTATTAAAACAATCAATTCCAGGCTGGAGTTGCCACAGACAAATCAAACTCCTAGGCACATATGTAGGAAAGTCTATGTCAGAAAGGACTAAAAGATCCGTTACCCAGGCAAACCTAGAGGACGGATCTAGAGAGAGCTCCAAACCTCAGCTTGTCTTTTCTTACAGCACAGAGCCTGCTGGAACACATGACTACGTAGCCAAGTGATTCTGTGTGACCAGTGAACCATACTGCCAACAACAGTGAACGGACCACTGTGTTCAATATGGTTGGTTACAGGACCTTCTTGTCATAAACCACAGTGCTCTGCTTGCCTAGAAAGCCAAGAGCAAGCTAGTTCAGATCCAAACACACACGGGACCCAGGGCACAGCCCCCTAAGGTGCGATCCCAGCATCATGGGAATGCCTCACACTCTGGCTCTTAGTCAAATCTCAGTCCCAGAGGAACTCAAAGTAGAAAGTCCACAGGTGGGGCCCTGGCTGGTGTTCAACACGGGCAGGGTGGAGGGACACATACCAGAATCTTTTCAGTGTTGAGAGAAAGCAGCGAGTCACAGGGCGCCGAGCCTCTCAGTTCGCAGTCGGACTCATGGAAGTTCAAAAATGACGACTCTGCAAAGCAAACATTCTGGGTCACTCACTCTCTTCGGATAATTTAAGGACCATAAGCTGAAATCTTAAGATGCCCACAAAGCCAAACTAGAGGCAAGTGAAAGTTCCGGGCCTTTCTCAACTCCAGCTGTGTGGTGTTCTACAGGAGTCAAGTGCCCTGCTATGACTAGGGTTGGGAGGAAAGTCCTGATTATTCTGAAAGAGTGGGAAGAGCTGACACTGTCTACAACCCAGATGCCAGTGGCCGTGGAGTAGCAGAGCTAAACACCTCTCCATATGGCAGCATCTACCTTAGGCTTAACACATACCTGCTCATATGTGTGCACATACCCCTCCCACCCCCATACACACACAAGAACAAAGGCTAACCAGGAGAACTAACACCACAAGACATGCACTACGGGTCCAGAGTCCAAAATATATAAATGTATCTTACAACTCAATGGGAAAAAGACAATCAGATTACAAATGAGCAGAGGGCCTTGATGAGAGATTTCCTAAAGATATACAGAAGCTACTCAACACAAGAAAAGGCCACCATTGTTATTAGAGGAACATAATCTGAAGCACAGTAAGGGTCTCCACCCAACCCACAGGAGGCTACGAGAAACTGGAAACTTTGGGCACTGGTGGAAGGAATGTACAATGCTTCGGCCACCATTGAAAATGTGTTGGCGATTGTTGGACTGCGAAAAGGATAGCTTGGCTCTTGGCTGGGCACAGGTCTCGAACTCCTGACCCTGATGGGACAAATCAGGGACAACAGCAGGTGTTCGGCCACGCTCTCAAAACCCAGGGTCCTGACATTCAATCTAAGACCTCCATTGACCTGCACCATTCAGTCACGTAGGGCAACACCCCTACCAGCCCCTCCACAGGTAGAGGGCTTGACTACAGGTCTCAGAGCCTTGAGAGATTTCCATATTAATGAGATAACTAAAGGCCAGAGGGTGTAGCCAATTAAGTATTCTTTCCCAGACTCTCCTCCCTCCTCCCTCCCTATTTAAGTAGGGTCCACCCTGACCTAAGTGGGGGTGCATTCAGATTCAACTGCCATTCGTCATGAAAATAAAGCCTGTAAAAGCCATGGACTCCCTCGTGTCTTTTGGGGCCTGCTGTGGAGTTCCACTGCGGAGGCCCACCTCTTTAAGCAAGCTAGCCGAGCAGCTGCCTTTCAGCCAGGCGAGTAACCACGGCCAGACCTCTCCCTCTCATTTCTCTCGGTGTGCAGTCTCTGTTCATCCGCAGCCCCCCAGTGGCATCTAGGAGTCCTGAATGGAGACACCAGCCTCCGGGTCCACTTGAGAGAGAGCCCTGCTCCCCGAGGAACTTCAGACAGAGTGAGAACTCCCCCCACCAGGCGGGCCCCATAGTGCCCGCTCAATGTCGCTGAGCTCCAGTCTCTTTGGAGCCATGGGAATCACAACCACCCAACAAGATTCAAGAACCCACACCCACGCTATCATTCCCCGCAGGCAACTCCTCAGGTCACAAATAGAACCTCCAATATGACCCAGCAACTCCATCTGTGAATAGATCACGAACTGAATATAGGAACTCAAACGAATGCTGTACACAGTTTCTCGGGAGCGGTATTCATGATACCCAAGAGGAGGTTAACAGCCCAAGTATTCACGGCGGATAAACTGGGATAGATGCACATGATTGGTTGATTATCCCTCCACAAAAATGAAGTGCTCGTACATACGACAACATGGAAAAGTGTCTCATACATGAGGCTCAGCCACAGAACCAGGAAGGGAAAGGTCACAGAGTACACAACTCCCAAAGGGACATGTGGGTAACTAAGGAGACAGAAGGAGTGGCTTCTCCAGGGCTGAGGGACTGAGTAGACCAGAAATGCCCTGCAACAGTGATTCTTAACTGGGGGTCAAAATCCCTTTGCGGGTCAAATACCCTTTCACGGGGGTTGCCTAAGACCACCGGGAAACACAGAAATTTGCATTACAATTTGTAACAATAGCAAAAATTGTAGTTATGAAGTATCAACAAGATAATTTTATGGTTGGGGGTCACCACAACATGAGGAACTGGATCAAAGGGTCACAACATTAGGAAGGTTGAGGACCTTCCTAATATATGGGACAAGGACTCTCCCGAAGGACAGAAATGTTCAAAGTAGCTGCAGAACACGGGGAATGTACAACTACCAGAGTTTCTCTCCAACAGTTCACTTCGTGTTGTGAGGAACTCATCCCCCGAAGCTGTCTTAAGAGTGCCTCAGTGATTAAAGGGCACTCAGCTTTGCCCCAGGAACCATCCGAGGAAAGATCAGAGTGTTGAGCAGGAGGAGCCCAATAGCCACACCCAGAGGAACAAAGGCAAGGACACCAAGGACAGCAGCAGACCTTGAGGCCATTAGAACACTGGATCATGACCAATAGGAGGCAGGGATATCAGCACACTAGGGGTAAGGGCACCTGTCACCACGTCTGGTTACCTGAGTTCAGTCCCTGAAACCCACACGGTGGAGGGAGAACTGATTCCTGCAAGTTAGCCTCTAGCCTCCATACGTGTGCTGTGACACAGGTGTACATGTGTGAGAGCATGGGTGTGTGTGTGGACAACCTACAGAAGGAACCACAGACACTGCAAACCACGGACACTACACACCATGGATGTTGCACATTGCCGACACAATATCCTGTGGACACTGTCCCATCCCTGCTTCTGCACTGATACAGATAGTATTTTACTAAGCTGCCATGACCCCCACCTTCACAAACTTACCCAACCAGGATAGAATCCAACAAATGTAAGTGCTGAGCCACGGGGTATGAACAGCCTGAGTCACTCAGACTGTTTCTCTCTCCCTTCTCCCACCCCCTCTCTCTGCAGTAGGTCCAGAAGCTAACAGTAGCAACACTGCTTGTTGCCTTTCTTAGATGGCTCAAACGGGCCTGGAACTCTGAATCCTCCTGCTTTGCCCACAGAGTGCTGGAGTTACAGGCACTCTCTGACACACCCAGCTTCTTCTGTTCATCTTCTGACCACTTGAGTCTACTGCGACATAGCTCACAGAGAGATTCCCAACCACTTAGTTCCTAAGAGCTGGTCTGCTGTCCAAGCCCCCGGTGACTAAATTCAATTTGCCTGCCTGCCATCTTCGCACCCCATCCTGGCTCCAATAAATCTTTAGGATTTCTTCAATTCCACTAAAGCCAGGTGAGATGGCAAATCCCTGTAATCCCAGGACTCAGAAAGCTGAGGCAGGAGGACTGTCACAAGTTCAAAGTCCACCTGGGCTACACAACAGGATTATAGCTCAGCAAATAAAACAAAAACAACAAAAACCTCTTCAACTTTTGTAATAATCTTAATGGCAGTCTAAGCTCTACACGGGTACATTACTTTTAAGAACACAATACTAATTCTTGGAAAATGGAAATTTAAAAAGACACATTATGGCATCTGGAATAGTCTAAGAACTACTGAGAGTTAATTTTGTGTTCACTGCTTCTGCTCATGAGAGCTTTTCAGAAGCGGCTGAGTGAATAAGCAAGCGGCCGTGTTCAGCAGGGAGAGAATGGGCAAATGCAGCTACTGCTGGTTCCCAGGAGGAAGATATGGTACCGGGCTAGGGTTTTGTTTACGTGAGGTGATCATGTAGCCCAGGCTCTGGCCAGAAATGAAAAGCTCGACCTGGAGAGGGGAAAGGAGGCACATTCTGCTACAGACATGAAGGAAAGGACAAGCATCTGGCTGTGACCTAGGGAGGAAGTCACCAGTGCTACCAGGGAAACAGAAAAGTCAGAGGCGAGTGATAACTCTGCTTTTATGTCAGATGTATGAGCAAGGGCCAGGCGGACATAGTGGCCATGTAGACAAGCTCAGGGGTATGGCGCTGTGACCTAATGGTGGACCATTACATGGAACCACCATGAAGGACTGGGCAGTTTCACTTACTAAGATCAAGAACCAACACGGGTGAGGGAAGAAAGGCTAAATTTAAACAACTACTCACTTGCTGACACAGCCTGCATCTCGCTCTTAAAGGCATACACACCTATTCCAGTGATTTGCCCATTTCACCAAACTCCTTTCTCTAATAGCTGTTCCTCTGCACCTCTCTTGGGTAGATAACTGGCTGAACTTATGGTGTTTTCAGAGAAGGAGGCCCTATGCTCCACTGTGCTATTCCCCTGACTAACCTGACTGCTTTGGAGGTAATGTCCTGCTGGCTCAGAGCTCGGGCACTTCGGTGGCTGTCTGACGCTGGGCATGGCCGTTAATGCCCTTACTTCTGTGCCCCATTCTTTATGACGGGGAGAGCCACAACCAAGAGCAGCTAAGGACACAGCTCAGCTTACAGAAAATAGCTGTTCCCACTCAGTTTAAATAACTGAGTGTTATCTAAAAAAACAAAAACAGAAAAAGAACCATCTACTGGTGTGTGTATGTGGACTATTATTTTAAAAAAAATATTACATTTACTGCTGTAAGTCGATGGGCAAGCCACAGTGTGCAAACAGACATCAAAGAATGACTTGTAGGAGCCTGTCCTCTCCACCATGTGGGTCCCAGGGTTCTAAGGCAGGCCATCAGGCTATGGAAACTGCCTTTACCCACTGAGCCATCTCACTGGCCTGGGCTGTATAGCTCTTATCTGAAGTGTTTGGACTTTCAGATTGACATTTTTTTTTAAATTTATTTTAAAAGATGTATGTGTACAAGTGTTTTTGCTTGAATTTGTTTATATGCACCACCTGTGTGCCTAGTACCCTCAGAAGCTTGAGGGCATCTCTGGTCACTGGGCCATCTCATTGGCTCAATTCTGGGATTGTTTATCCCAACAAATTTAACACGTTTAAGGCTATAAGTCATTATTTAGACGGAGTGTGACATTCAACATGGATTATGCTAAGGTCACCAAATGGACGGAGGTACCTCACTGAAAACTACTGTGAAGATATTAAGTACAGGACTGTCACCTAGAAGCAAACAAGTGTGTCACTGAAAGACTTTGCATAGGAGCTGAATCGTGGCTCAGTAGGTAAAGTCCTTGCACGGCAGGCAGGAAGCTCCAGCACCACAGAAAAACCATGTGTGGTAGCACACACCTGTCTTCCTAGCACTTTAGGAAGTAGAGGCAGAAGGATCAGAAGTTCAAAGTCATAGTCCACCATGTAGAGAGAGAGCTGGAGACCAGCCTGGGATACAGGACAGCATCTCTCAGAAGGGAAAGAAGCCTCGCCTTAGCTCATCGTCCCTCTTACTGCAAAGAGAGAGGAACCAAAGGTGTTTCGTAAGTTACTAGAAATGCATGTGACTGGATCACTAACATGTGGCCTCAGATGTCTGTGAAGAACCAGCCAGCGTTTCGCTTGAAGGACACACCACGTAGGTTTGTAGGAAGAGCAAAAAACCTGGATTCTTTAGTCAGTGGGCAACTTCCAACTGATACATTCCTTACTTTGCTAGATCCATAGAAGGGAGGGGTCAGGGATGTATCTGGGATCTATTCAAGGCTACTCTCTCTGGAGTTCTGCTTCGAGTCTTTGCTCACTGCCTTGCACAACAGCAGCGACGTGGGACTCCACTCCCCCCTACCCCCATGTGCCTAGCATCACTCCTCTAGTCAGGTGTCCCAGGACTACTTGCCCTACACCAAACTAAGCTCCCCACAAGGGACTCAGTCAGGTCACTAAGGTGCAGCACATTCATCAATACCTGGTACATACACACACACACACACAGGCACACACACAGCTTTCCTGTGGCTACGCAGTTCAAAACACTAGGATCAGTGATGCATTTTAATACACACGTAAAGTCTGAAATCCCAAGTGTTATTTAAAAATACAAGTCTTGGGGCTGGTGAGATAGCTTAACTGTTAAGAGCAAGAGTTGCTCTTCAGAGGTCCTGAGTTTAATCCCCAGCAACCAAGTGGTGGCTCAGTACCATCTATGAAAGGGAATCTGATGCCCCCTTTTGGCATACAGGTGTATATGCAGACAGAGGACTCATTCATTAAAAATAAATAAAATAATAATAAATTTTACTACTGCATATAAAAAGGAATCTGATGCCCTCTTTTGGCATACAGGTGTACATGCAGACAGAGCACTCATTCATTTTAAAAAAATAAAATTAATTAAAAATAAATAAATAAATAAAACTACAAGCTTCAAGCCTGTGGTAGTGGCACACACCTTTAGTTCCAACACTCAGGAGGCAGAGGCAGGTGGATCTCTGAGTTCGAGGCCAGCCTGGTCTACAGTCTAGCACAGTCAGTGATACACGGAAAGCCCTGACTTGAAAAAAATAAAAACAAAAGCAAACAAATACAACTTTCAACGAGTTTAAGGTGTAGGGCTTACTATATTAATGCTTTGAAATTATGCTGATATGCAAAAAAAAAAAATCAAATTAATCTCAAATCTAGGCTCTCCAGGGTAACCTTGCTTAGCTTCTTTTGACTTCGATTTCCCCCCTAGGAAAATGGTAATGAACACTAACTAGTTCAGCTTCGTCGACAAAAGGCACTGGGGAAGAAGACTCTGCTCCGTACTTCTGCCCACAGTCACAATATTAAAAACAGGGCCACAGGAATAAGAAAAAAATTACTTTTATTTTCAAAATAAAAATTTCAGGTTTTGAGGCACTCAGGAGACTGAGGCAGGAGGACTGTCAAAATTTTCTCAAGGGCAGCCTAAGCTACACAGTGAGTTCCAGCTCAGGGTAGCTTAAATTAGCATGAGACAGTCTCAAAACAAAATAAAGCAAAAAAGAAAAAGAAAAAAAGAAAAAAAGGAAAAGAAAAAGAAAAAAATGAAACAAAGAGACAAAAAGCAAGAACAAATAACATAGCAGATGGCTTCTTCTTCTCAAAGAGTAGGATTATTTTCTCAGGCCTGAAGCAGGCCCAGTGGTTAAGACCCAAGTTTGGTTCCTAGCACTCACGATCACCTATAACTCCAGTTTCAGATGATCAGATGCCCTTTTTGGCCTCTATGGTCACCCACGCACACCTACCGTCCTCCACGAAGACAAAAATATAAGTAAATCATTTAAAAAAAATTATCTTCTCGTGGGACAATAGGATCAAAAACATTATAAATTACTTTCAGTTAGAAACATAAAAATATACTAGAAGACAAAATATCACCATGGGCTGCGGAACATGTAAGACTAGGGCAGAGACACCTGGCAGGCTTGCAGGTTTGCGAGTTCACACTGTTCCCTGGGACCAGCTAGGCCAGCAATTGCTGACAAGACCCCTCCAGACCGATCCGCTTTCTCTCACTGGAACCATTTACTCCTCCACCACAGGGGGCGCTGCAGTGAGAGAGTAAGCCTGAGCAAGGCTAACCAGCTGCACACGGAGATCCAAGCAGGGATTCCTTTGGCAACCTGCTCCTGAGAACAACGCTGAGGGGCAGTTAGGCAGCTCTTTGCCTCAAGTCTAGAGTCTGGCTGATGTGGGGCAGGCAAGAAAGTGACCGTGGTATTCCAAAGATGCCCTCTTGGTGAGGTCAGACCTGTATGATTTGGGACACCTGATAGGTTCTGGATATCAAGAGTAGATCGTTGTGTCGGCGGTATTCGGGCTCTAAACACAACCGATAAAAAGCCCCTCAGACTATGTATGCCCTGCTTACTTGCCTATCCTGAATTTGTCCCCACAGTCTAGGACAGGTCCCTGAGGAAAACTTCACAGAGTCCAACTTCCATTTAATCATCCAGGGTTGGGAGAAACTGAAGAGAGGCATTTCCTACCAAGAGCCCTTGGAGGTTAAGACAAAACCTGTCTGCAAAATTGAACATGGACGCTCACACTTGTAATCCCAGCACTTGAGGGGTTAAAGAGAAGGCTCGTGTAAATGCAAGTTCAAAGCCAGCCTGGGCTCAGAGAAACCCTTTCTCAAAAACAAAGAATATAAAGCAACTATTGTCTGTTCTATGTTCTTTCCTCTATAGCTGGGGCTTTGGGAGCTAGCCTTTTCCTTGTGTCTCAGTTTTCCCTTCAGAGACAAGGAGGTGCCATCCAATAAGGTGGCTACTGCTTTTATGGTAAATTAAGCCGCCAAACTAACAAGGCTAAATGAGGAAATAAAACTTCACATTGAAGTAAACGGAGTCTCGTATTTACAGAAAAGTCAAGTTCACGACAGGTAACCTCCTGCCCTGAATCAGGAGGTGACATTAACAATGGTCATTTGGCTCGCTAAGGAATGCTAGCCACATCAGCGACGCTGTTGGCAGGCAAGGAAGAGGCACAAAATAAGTCCAAAAACCCATTCTAAGAAGCCAGATGGTGCTCAAACGAAGTCAGATTGCACTAATCTTGAGACTGCATCTCAGCTAAGAAACTAGGTAGTGTCTGAGCAGGCGTAAGGTGCTGGACACCCGTGGGATGTCTTAAAAGGCATCATCAGTCAGCTGCTACTAGGTATGGAAGACCCAGGCCTTCCCACGGCAAGTCGGAGGGTCACCCAGAGGGGAAGGGGCGGTGGAGTGGGTAAAAATGCCCACTGTACAACTCGAAACAGAAAGAGCATGTGCATTTTGCCCAGAGTGATCCTCCATGACTTATTCTACACGCCTACAACGTCTGACTTCAATGAATGAGCCTGAGCGCTGGAATGCACGCAGGAATCAGGCCTGAAGCTCTCTCTCTACCGTCGGGGATACATCTGAGGAGCACAGGTCAGTGCTGATGTCACCCTGCAAATTCAAACTGCTTGCACCTCTCAGGATTGGATTCCTGGGGTGGGGACTGAGCAAGTCACCCACCGGGGAAAGCAGAAAGAAGTTGGACTTCCTGGTCCGTGCACCCAAGTAGGCACCCTTCAGGCGGGTCGGCGTCCCCGCTGCCCGCCTGAGCCCATCCCCGGTACCCTCACCTCCCAGGTGCTTCCACGCTAGGCAGGGGCGGCCGCAGGGAGAGGGCGGCTCGGCCCACTCACCGCACTCCGGGTACTGGTCCGCCCAGTCCCCCGACTGCGGGCAGCCGCCGCCCGCCGGGGCCTCCTGCTGCTGCCGATGCTGAAGCTCCTGCTTCAGCAAGGACAGCGGAGAGTAGTGCTCGGTGGCCCTCGCGCAGGCCAGCGCCCCCAGCAGCAGGAGCAGCGGCCGCACCACCGCGGCACCCAAGCTGCCCGAGCAGCCGCAGCCGCGGCCGGCAGGTGCCATCTTCCCGCACGGCGCAGGCGCGGCCCAGCTCTGCCCGCCGCGGGCAGGTGGGCGCGGCGCGCGGCCGCAGTGCCCACTGGGAGTGATAGTCCGCACCCTGTTAGCCTCAAGCTCTCATTTAACGCTCGGACTACAAGTCCCAGTAAGCCTTTGGGTGCTCCTTCCAAGGCCAGTCCCGGCATCTTCCGCCAGCGGCCGGAAGTAGAAGCCCTAGAGTGGCCATGGGGACGGGCGGGCGTAGGGGAACGCGGTCCGGGAAAAGCACGGAAGGCGCGGCGGCGGCTTCGTCCTCTTGCCTGTATCGTTGTATCGAGTGCAACCGGGAGGCCCGGGAGCTGTACCGGGACTACAACCACGGCGTGCTCAAGATAACCATCTGCGTGAGCGCGCCCGGGGGCGGGGCGCGGCTAGGAAGGCGGATCCGAACGTGTTGTGGTCCGGGGCAAGGCCTGGGAGCTTGAGCACGTGGGGGAGGAGTGGTCCTTATGATGGTGTGAAAGAGAAAGCGAGGATGTGCTTGAAGACTGCCTGGGCTATGGATGTTCTAAGACTTAGGAGACACCCAGGAGTGCTGGCGCGTTTCTGTGACTCCAGCACTCCACTCGCAGGCCAGGCAGGAGGAGGATCACGAGTTGGACGCCAGCCTCGGTTACCTAGAGAGAGACTGTCTCAAACGAATAAACAAGTGATGGAGAGAGAGATGTGATTCACTAAGGAAGTAAGAATTGTAGCAGGAAGCGTGTCTTGCCTGAGGAGATGGATGCAGTGTTTGAGGTCCCGTGCTGTAGAGATTTCTTAGAAGAAAACTGTGTCTCTTCAGGGTACTTGTCAATTAAATAGTAAATAATACAACAATTTAACCAAAATTGAAAACATTCATCACGGCCGGGGATGTTGCTCGGTTCTTAGGGTACTTGCCTGACATGCAGGCAGCCTTAGAGGCCATCTCCAGCAGCACGCCTGTAATCCCTGCAGTTGGGAGGTGGAGGCAGGAGGTCCAGAAGAGAAAGAGACGGAGGGAGGGAGAGAGAGAGAGAGAGAGAGAGAGAGAGAGAGAGAGTGTGTGTGTGTTTCCTCTAGATAATCAAAGTGAGGCAGGAAGAAGCAGCGGTGAGGGTACTGGTGGAAGAGCACCCGCCAATCCATCAGGTCCACTGATGGAGAAAGTCAGCGAGCTCCCTAGGTGTTGGGGGGCCGTGGAAAGAGGATGGAGGACACAGGGCATGCCACTTGGTAGTAGAAGGAGCCTCTTAGGTAGAGATCACTGGCACCTCAGTGTAACCGTCTTCGGATGGCAAGGTGGAGTGCTGTCTTGCTTTCTAAAGTGTAAGGCCCCGAAGGTCGGAGGATAGTGGCTCCAGGTGATTAGCTTCTTGGAGACCACGAAGCTCTGGGGAAGGAGAGCTCTTGTTATGTCGTATCCACAGCACAGGTATCTGGCTAACAAACTATACAGGAGGAATAGCAGTTCTGTGTTTCCTGATGCTGGTCTTTCCCCTCCTGCTTCCAAATGTGTCTGCCTCCCTGTTCTTACTATCCGAAAGCGGGATTTAGATAGCTTTTGAAAAACAGAGAGGGACTTGCTCTTGGCACTACTGTAGCATCTCCAGGCTTGAACCTCATGCATGAGGGGAAGAGATAAGCTCGTGTCAGTGGCAAAGGAAGGGGATCTGGGAAGAGCCTCTGTCCTGAGCTGGGTATCTGAATGTGGTTGCTCTTAACTCACAGATAATTTCGGGGAATTGAAAGCCATGAACCTCTATGCCTCCATTTTGACAGAGAGATTGACATTTGAGAGGGTAGCAGAACTGCCAGTTCACCTGGTAACTGGAGAGGCATGGTATTTCTTACAGTGGTGTGACTGAAGTGGAGAGTCTCTTCCCCGGGGACAGTGAATCTGTTCTGTTCCGTTGATGTACAGGGTTACAATTCTCCGATGCACTTGACTTATTTCTAGTTTTGGTATAACTAAAAGGTGATCCTGGTCTTCCTGTAGTTTCTGTTTCTGTGTTATCCTGTCACTCGGAATCGAAGCCACTCTTTTTTTCAGTGAATAGTAGCATTGGTGCAACTTTGAGAATAATACTGTTTCAGTGTCCACAGGTTGTCTAACAACCTGTGATTTGATGTGATTTAACAACTCAGTTGTAATTCTTCTCACAGTATAGGAGTATGAGAGGAAGCCATTTGGAAGCTGAGGGAGTCTTGATTTAGGTGACATAGACCCAGACTGCACAGCCCAAGTCTGTGCACACAGCACAGCACCCTCCACTGTGTCTGTGGTAGCAGAGAAGAAACACGTTCTTTCCAAGTTCTTGATTTCATTGGAAAAAAGCCCAGGCTTAGGATTGTTGACACTGTACCCTGACCTTTGTCCTCCTCTCAGAAGCTAGGATAGGAACTTTGTTGAATACCTGTCTCTGGATCCAGAGCCACAGTCTACACCACAGCCTGTCAGCCAAAGTGTGTTAGAGAGATTAGCTTTTAAGAAATTGTAAAAACTGAAAGTGGAATTGAAAGTAGTGTCTTCTGAAACACTTTTGTGCCTGAAGCGGGTCTTTAAATCAAATTCCTGTCTGACTTCTGTCTGTCTTACTGTAAGATTTGAGGCAGGGTCTCCTCAGTCAGCCCCTGCTGACTCAGCATCTTCCTTCCTCTGTGTCGTAAACACTTGGGGTTACAGTTGCATGTTAGCACATCTGGCTTTCTTTATAGATTCTTGGGTATAAATGTAAACTGTTAGTATTTCTAGTTAGAAGCTTATATCTAGTCATCATGAAGCAGCTTCTTGCGTGGGTGAGCATTTTTAATCTGAGGATTTTAAATAGATGCCTGTACACCTTGTTGCTGGCAAAGTCCAAAACAGACTTCAATTTTTTTTTACGTCCTTTAAAATTTCTGAATGTGTTCATTTGTTTGTTCTAATATTATTTTATATTTTTCCCCCAGAAATCCTGCCAGAAACCAGTAGACAAATACATCGAGTATGACCCTGTTATCATCCTGATTAATGCCATTTTATGCAAAACTCAGGCCTATAGGCATATTCTTTTCAACACTAAAATAAATGTAAGTTATGGTTTTTAAGTATTTAAAACTCTGTGTGTGTGTGTGTGTGTGTGTGTGTGTGTATGTGTGTGTGTTAAAGGAGGAAGGGTATGTGTACCCTATGGCAGGTGCCCCTGACGGCTGGAGTCACAGGCAGCTGTGCGCCTCCTGTCACAGGTTCTGGGAACACAGCTCCTGTCCTCTGTAAAGGCAATATGTCCTCCTAACTGCCAAGCCCTCTTTCCAACCTGGGCTTTACATTTTTTTTTAATGTTACCTGATGCTTTTGCATTTAAGAGAAATAACAGTTTCAAACAGAATTAGAGAATATATAACGATTCTAAAAGAGTGTGCAGTGCTTAGTGACTGCTGGACGATGTGGTCACAGAGAGACACCGGCGGCATAGTTTGGATACCTCTAGTGAACTACCTCTTAAAATGTTGACTTTGAGCAGAATAAAGCTAACCATAGCTGGGTAGGTAGGTGTATGCTTACCTCACTGCTGGGACCTAATGTCTGAGAAGCAGTAGCTTCAGTGTGGGCCACAGTTGGAGTCCAGTACGATGGGGGAGGCGTGCTGAGAGGACGACTGCTTAGGGGAGAAGCACCAGGGCTTCACTGGCTTTGTCTCCCCCCACACACACACTTTGCCAGCCAAAGGAACATCTCTTCCCACATCCAGTCTTCCCTCCGAGGCCAGTCCTGTATGCAAACACAAGTTCCTAAGACAAATGTGGATGTGTACCTTATTAATGCAATAGATGGTTTTATTGTTTTGTTTTGTTTTTCCAACAGCTAGTATTTTGTTCAGATAATCAGTCTCATTATAACATTTAAATAAGAACTCAAATAAAATTGGATGTTAAAGATTGGTCTCAAAGCATCATAGCCAATGAGCAGTGCCATGTTTGCCTATGATCTCTCCAATATGAAACTACATTCACACCTCAGTGGCTGCCAAACCATTCAGCATAGCTTCCTTAACTCTAAGCTGTCTGAAGCTACCAGCTTTAGGACTCTGAATTATTTTTTTCACACCCTGACTAGCTGTAGGGAGTTGGGAGAACCAGCTCAACATGTGGCCAATCAAGAATTCAAGCAAGTGACAGCATCAGTTACCAGTGTCAAGGCTCTCCACAAAGTTATGGACGATCTTGGTCACGGTCTAAGGTGGAAGGAAGGTCTGTCTCTCCAAACCATCGGCAGAATGTCACCCTAGGTGTTTTTTATCTAATTAATTTGACAATCAAATTCCAACACAGAATAGGAAACAATTACACCTGGATCTAGGAAGCAAACAGTAAAAGAAAACTATTTTTTAAAACCACAATTAAATGCATTTTGCACTCTGCTGTTAAGAGAATGCAAGAAATGAAAAACAAGGCAGAAAAGTAATAACATTAAAGGCTGGATGTTTCAAAATTTGCACTTACTAACATTTAAGATTGGACTTCAAAATTTCCACTTTTCATACTGAACTGTAAATGACTTAATAGTTTGGGTTGAATTGTCAGCGAGACATCAGTTAAATTTGAAACTTGGATAAACAGTAAAATACTTCTAGCATTCAGTCTGTCCCAATTATTGCATGGGATATACTTAAATTATTTGTTGGGAATCTAAGACTCAAATTTAACTGGGTATATGTTTTAATTTGGCCCTCCTAAGTTTTGGTAGAACTAGACAGTGCAGTGGTCTGCCCCTCAAATAATAAAAGCCTTTTAAGTGACCAGAGTGTTGATTTTCAAGCTTGCTTACACACTGAAAATTCCTGGGTCGGATGAGGGAGACCTCCCCAGACCAGCTCAGTTTGTGGATGACATTGGGGGACATCCTTCCCAGATGTTTCCAGAGTGCAACCAGAGGACCTGTGTGCCAGCCAGCTGTGGAGCCTCAGAACCTGAGGTCAGGTTTGGTTGGGTTCACAAACATCCCAAACATAGATCCCCACTGTTAGTTTCCTGAGAAAGCTCGGTTTGCAGGAAAGGTGGTCTGACCGGGGAAACTGGTAACTAAAACATTTAGAAGCTTCTGATTATTTTCGCTGTTATAGTTTTATTCTCCTTCAGCCCTGAGGGTTCTTTTTCTTTTTTAAATACCTGTTCATAATAATAGTTTACATAGTGTGCTAAAGTCTTTAGATTAACTGGGTGTGGTGGTACACACTAAGACGGAGGCAAGCCTGGTCTAGAGTGAGTTAGTTCCAAGATGGTCAGGGTTACACAGAGAAACCTTGTCTTGGAAAAACCAAACACACACACACAATGAAACAGCCTGTTCTGAAAAAGTTCTATTTCCACCTGTATAAGTCACATAAACGTGACTATTTGGCTGGAAGTAGGGGGAGCACGGTGTTGAACCTATGATTCCTGGTGTGTGTGCATGCGTGTGCATGTGCATGCTAGGCTATATTCAGGAATTGCTACAAAATACACCTACCCAGGTTTTACTCCTAAAAATCGGACTCCAGACTGGGTCTTTTGATGGTCCAAGCTTGGAAATCTCCCATGGGTTTCCAATAAACACTGCTAATTAATAACTCGTAATGTACATGAAGACTGTAATTAGCCAGTTAATAACATTGGAAATCCACATGGGTCATTCTCAGCACAACTACTGAGTGTAATGTGGTGTACATTTAAAGTACTTGGAAGGCTGAGGCAGGAGGCCTATCTGGAGTTCCAGACCAGCCTGGTCTACATAGCAGGACCTTACCAAACCAATAACCCCTACATCTGTGTAGCTGCGGCGTGCCTCTTGGCATGCCTTCAGCTCACGGCTCCTTTACCTGACGCAGTGGCACTGTCTTTGGCTGTCAGATCCATGGGAAGCTCTGCATGTTTTGTCTGCTTTGTGAAGCATACCTGCGGTGGTGGCAGCTGCAGGACTCAAACCAGAGTCCAGCCCCCGATGACGTGATCCGGTACGCCAAGGAGTGGGACTTCTACAGGATGTTTGTGATCGCTTCTTTCGGTGAGCAGATGCTGAGCCGTCCATGTTCGGCTAACTGATCGAAGCTAAGATGTGGAGAGACAGCTACTACTAATACAGGAACAGAGACCGTATTGCAGCTCCACCACTAACCTGCCAGGCGAGTTTGTCCGAATCGCCTGATAGGTTATTTCCCCGCCTGTGAAATGAGCCAATTCAAACCAGATTAGATTATATTAAAGGCAGGTTTATTGGAAGCTGCTCTCAGGACAGGGGAGTTGCCACAGATTGAGGGTCTAGTGGTAGAGGGACGCAGGGGATGAGGAAGGGAGAAAGGGTGCTTGGGCACAGA